TTGACAGTCGAGATAAAAAATGGATTCAATTGAAATGATAGAAAGTAACAAAGAGTAATCAACCATGAGTTTGATGATTCTATTCATGAGGAAAACAGAATAATGATGAAAATTGATAGAATTTTTTTTTTACTTTTCCTTCTTCATCTTATTCCTGATGATGATCATCATCATCGTCATACTGAATCCCTTCATGGATTCATGATGATAATATTTAATTCATAATGTTGATAAGCTTAACTTTTCAACGAGAAAAGGGAATTGAATAGTTGTATGTTAAATTTTCGTTGAATAAACGGAATTCCCATGAAAGTTTCCATCATGAATATCATCATGTTACCATGTTGTATGTTTTTCTATTGAAAATGGAAACGAAAACTTTTTCTTCTCTTTTTTTTCTGCAGAGAAAAAAAATATCAACATTACCCACCCCACTTTCCCTTACATTCAACTGTCACTTGCATCAATATTATTTTCTGTATTTCGTCATTTCTGTTACCTTATCCCATCGACTAACTCACCTTGTTACCTTTTCTGTCAGCCTGAGCTTTTTTTTCACTACTTTCTGATAATCTTTTGCATGGTAAGTAATATATTTACATTATGACATTTGAATCTGAATATGAAACTGGGAGTTTCTGGGAGGAAAATGATTGCTACTATTCAATTGATTTGACCCAGCAAAGTAACTGAATGACTTTATCAGAACTTTATTATTTCATGATAACATGAGTTACTTTGAGTTTCTTTTCACAATCTTCATTTTTATCCACCCTCTTTATTTGCCCTGTGGTTGGAAAATGAGAAATAATAGAGAAAAAGTTCTGTATACTTGTCATGATATGAGTTATCTACTGAAAATCTTATCATCATGAGATCTCCAGGAGATAATAATTCTGACTCTTCATGTTTCTCCCTCCTCTTTTCTCATCCCCACCCTAACCAATCACCATCAACCCATTTTCATCAGCTCTCTCTCCCTCTCCCTGTTTCAATCGTTTCATCTTCCACTATATTTTCACCTTTCAAATGCAATACCACTGATAACTTTTCATATCTCTCTCTCTCTCTCTCTCGCTCTCTCATCATTTTCATCATTAATGTCAATACATTCCCTCCCAGCCCCATTTTTATCCTCTCTTTCATCATCTTTCTGGCCTTTTGTTATATCTGCTCATTCTCATATATATATAGTTGATAAAGTTGATAATAATAATCTGATTCCATCTAAAATTGTTATCATGATGATGATTATATTGCTAGAAATAGTTTTATCGTCCTGATGAGTAGTTATCTGTGATTGAATTGAAACGATTCATGAAATAAATCAAGTTATTATCATGATTATATACCAAATTATTAGATTGTAAGAGAGGATAAAATGGCAAGTTGAAACTGAACATTGATAATAAAGAAAGAGGAAAAGGAAGGAAGTGGTTTAGGTTATTTATTATGTTGATGTTTCTATTAATTAAAGGTGGAACCGGAAATTCAGTGAGAAACAGAAAAGTAGGCGGAGAGTGATGAAAAGTAATTCTAATCAGGGATTGTGAAAGAAAAAATATATATTTATATACATATAACATGGTGAAAAATTCGTAGAAAAAAACTTTCAAGTTGCAAAGATTTTCGAGTTTTTTTTACTTCGAAAAAATGAAATTTTCTTCCATCATCTCTATCAGCCTTGCAATTCAATTCAGGTTCAGTTGACTTGGTGTTTCAATCTCATCTCATGATCCTTATGAGTAAATACATGATTTGGTTGATTAATTTTTGAAACAAATATCATCATCATCATCATGAAACCAGAATCAGAACCAGAATGAAAGTGTAATTATTTTCATTTCCTCTTTTTCCTCAAATCAGTTACATGATGTAATCATCATCATCACCACCATGGCTATTTCATGAGAAGAGGGGAGAAGCTGAAATTTGAAACTCGTAAATTCAACTCACAAGTAAAATTCAGTTAATTATACAATTTAATTTGTATTTTTCAGTTCTAATTAAACTTTGAAATTGAACAACTTTCCTCAATAATAAAGTAATAGCATTTGAATTATTAACAACCGATTCTCATGGAGGGAGGAAAAAGGGAGTATTAATATCTTTCAGGTTGATTATAACAATTAGGTCAGTATTTTGTTGACCAATCTTTCTTCACGAAATATATACTGTGTGTGTATGATGCAATATTAATCAGATATTAGGGATAAGTTTGAAAAAGAATAGGAAAAAGAAGGTGAAAGATACGGAATCTGATAAATCTCAATATGGTCAGTATTCAGTACACGTTATCTGGACAATGGAACAAGAAAATGAAAAGATATTTATTTTTCTTCCACTTTTATCCCATTGATCCGATCGGATTATCTCAACGTTATCATTACTATTATTACAATCATATTGTTCCTCAATCTTTTATCAACCTTTTTCACCTCTTTCAACAATACCATGTCCACACCCACTGACCATCCAAAAAATAGAGAGTGAGAGTATCATTATCTTTTTAAGATAATATCTCGATATCACTTCATCTTGCAATCTTCATCTTGCAATGATAAAAAGTATTCCTACTCTCTTTCATATATCTATCATATTCTATAAGCCATATTATCATCAATAATGTATTGGTCAGTAATCTCTCTGTCATCATGCTGGTCAGCTTCATGACGATCACAATGATTGTAATTTTCACTATTGATTCTCTTGTCTTTTTAGTTTAACTTTGTAATTAAATTAACCAGAAAATCAGCTGAAAATGGTGATAAATTTATTCTTGCTCATTTTTTTGACTCTCTCTCTCTCTCTCTCTCTCTCTCTCTACTAATACTAATTGATAATTAACTGATTTGAATTTAAATGTAATTAGTAATTAGTCGTTTGTTGATTTGAACATAAAGAAAATTATTCTCTCAATATTTATTATTATTCCAACAAAATTCTGGTTAACTAAATCTCTATTGTGATGCTCATATTATTCAACCTTTTCTCATGATGATGATGATGATGATTAATTTAGGAAAGTCTTTTTATCATTACGATGACAAAATGATATTCCTCTGATTGTTCAGTTGATTCAGTTGAGGAGGGAAAAAAGTTCAGATGATAAAATGATAATAGAAAAAGTTTTTCCCTTCTGAAAGTCTTATCTCTTACCATGAACATGAATGCTCAAGATGATGAAGATAATGATTATGATGATGATGATGATGATAATTTTGATGACAGAAAAAGAGCTTGAGCATTTTGATTAAAACATCAAATTAACCTGTCATTGTGTTGGATTGTCATGATGATAAGTAAAGAGAAAGTTTTATTTTTTTTCTGGTTGTTAAAAATTCTGATATAATGATTATCATGGTGATAGTATTTATCTTGAGTTGGGATAAATCATTATGATATGAAAATGATTTTTCCGCCTCACTCATGTTCTTGAGCAATTTAATTTAATCTAATAGATCCCAAACAAGTACATCATGATGATCATCATCATGATGAAAAGAGGGGAAAACGATTCTATCTCCTTTTCATGATAAGTTCTGATGGGAATGTTGAATTTACGAAATGAGCATTAGAATTAAAAACTGAGTCTCGAACTTTTTCCTTCGTTTGAATTTCATTCTTTTCATGATTCAACTTCTCATTGAGTGAAATTCCGTTTATGAATTATTCTGATTTCTATCAATATGTCAGTTGAGATTTTCTATCGGAATAAAATCTCACTCTCTCAGAATTATTAGAAAATGGAACTTTGAGATTACAGGATAAAGTTCGTGTTTGAACATTTTGTTGTTCTTGTAAAATATATTATATTAGATCAGAATTTAACTGACTTGATATAATAATGCTGATGACCATTGGGTTATAATGACGATGGTGATCATCATTTTGCTTTTAGCTGTTGGCAGTGGTGGTGATAATGTCTGGTCATTTTGAAATTTTCCATCTTTCATTCTGGTATCATCATGAAATTGTCAAAAAAAGCTCAGTCATTATATCTTGAGATCATTTTTTATCCTTAAAACTCAATTTACAGTTTTGATTCTTGATTTAATTTCTCGGATCAGAGAAAAATAAAAAAACAAACTTTAACAAAATACTGGTCAGCAAAAAGATGACCAAAAAATCATAAATCATCATCATCTTCATCCTGTTCATTAAAATTATCACATTGACCCATGAAATTTGTTGTTGATTATCTTTACCTTTATTGCTTTTGATTGAAACTCATTAAAACGATAATCCAATTGATGAATCAATCAAACAATTTACAAGATTGAACCATCAATATGAACATGAGTTATTTAAGAAAACACTATTTACTTTTCGTTGATAAAAAAACCAAACCTAAAAGAAAGAATATTTTTTTTCTCTAATACCAATTTCCACTCTGATCATCATGAGAATCATCATGAACATGTATTCAGATAATATAAACATGTACATTACCTACAAGCAATCTGATATGCACCATGATTAGTTTTCATTGACTTTTTTTCCTTCAATTTAACTCAATGGTTCAATAGATATCATCATTTATCAGAATTAGAATCTGTTTCTAATGTTCAGATAATGAGAGTGTATGAAAAAAACATCAATATCTCATAATGATTGGTAAAAAAAATCGTACACATGATTAAGTGAATATATTTATTCATTAATTTAGATTATTCTTATTCCATAAATTATGATTAACTCGAAATAGCTTCTATTTAATCATGAGTAGTATAATAATTGGAGATAATTGAATTGATTGGAAATTATTTCCATTTATAAATCAGTCATTGAATGCTATTAGATAATTTCTTATGAACATTGGTTGAACTTTTTTTTTTAAATTGCTTTTCAATACAATTCAATTGGGTAATTGGAGAGTATGCAAGTTAATTGAGGTGGAAAATTAATTAAACACTAATTACTCGCCAATATGTTGGTAATTTTATGTAATAACACGAACTAATTGTTGTTTACTCTTTGTCCCTTATTTGATTATTCACATGAATCTATTGAACTTTTGGATTTCCTGGATTTGTATCTCTATCGACATGGATCATGAATCCGCCGATTATCATGATAATAACAAACGATCTGTTTATCACTTGATTACTATGATTTAGAGTGAAATCTTAAGAGAAGCCCAAACCATGTCAGCCTTAGATCATAAACACATCGTCAGATTAATTGGTGTCTGCGAGGTTGATCCAATCATGATTGTTATGGAATTAGCACCATTGGGACCATTGAATCAATATTTACTTGACCATGGGTTTGTGGTCACTATTAAGGACATAATTGCCCTTCTCTTGCAAGTTGCAATGGCGATGCAATACCTTGAAAGTAAACAATTTATCCACCGTGACCTTGCGGCAAGAAATGTACTATTGGTGAACGAAAAGTTTGCCAAAGTTAGTGACTTTGGCATGTCAAGAGCACTTGGAATTGGTAAAGAGTATTATAAGGTAATGTTATCAATTATCAAATCGATTCTTATCTCTATTTTGATTCTGAATATTAACTGTTTATGGAAAATAAAACCGATCTAATTGAGCGATTCAACTAAAGTGAAAGTGATAAATGTTTCAATCAACTATTATATTGGAAAGTAGGGGAAAACATTAGGGTGAATCAAGTTGATCTACATAACATATCATGTATCGTTTACTCAGATTCATTACAATATCCTGTTTCCGATTTATTCAGTGCGTGAATGATGAACAGTGATAATCAAAAGCTAAATACTTCTCGATACTTATGGTATATATTCAACAAAGATTCAGGGTTCGATCATGAATAATTCTGAGTTTTTTTTCGCTCATTCTGTTTACTTTTAGTAAATTGAATATTCTTTTGGACTGAATGTCAATCGATCGTAACATTGATCATTTATGATAATATTAAACAGAATCAAATTAGAATTGAGTATTGTAGGTGAAGCTATCAACATTGTTTATTGAATATTCTCACTGTCAATAATTTTATCATCTCTAATTCAATTGCTTTCCAGGCTAAAAGTGCGTCCAAATGGCCATTAAAATGGTACGCACCCGAATGTATCTATTATTTCAAGTTTAGTACAAAATCTGATGTTTGGTCTTATGGTGTTACCATGTGGGAATCTTTATCCTATGGACAGAAACCATATGAGGTATGGACATGAATTCACTTGATGGCACCTTAAAAACTTTTCCTATGTACCAATTTTATCACCATAAATAGATAACCAACATAATGATAGTGCAAGAGCATTCAACTGACCACCACATACACATACTAATACATAAATACAGGGTAGCTAAATTGTGGTCAACAAACATATTACATGAAAGTTATCATAATCGTCAACATGAGTATTAGAATATACCATTATCATTAGATCATTTCCATGTTTCCTAATCACACTCACCATCATCTCATTTGTAACAACATCTCGACTATTGAAATGTACATCATCAATTTATTAGCATCTTGAATGTACAATGATATTTACTATTTAATATCTGTATCATTCTCGAGTTCATTCATATTGCACTAAGATCATTACGAAATTGTTCAAACATTTGCACCCAAGAATCGGTGTTATTAGTTAAATATTCAATTGAAATTCCCAATGTTACTCATCTAGCTCGTTAAAATCAATGATTAAACGTTATTATCAAATATTACATGATAATACACTTTAAATATTAGCCATTAAGTAAACTGTGATTATTAATATTAACACTCTCATTTCTAAATTATCACAATTATCATATTTACAAGTGAGTTATGGTGATAAAATTACATGATAATATACTTTCATGAAACAATATCAACATTTTGTGTGTGTGTTATGAATATATGAAAATAGCTTGAGGGTATTTTCTGGTTTATGAAAAAGGAAAGAGAGAAATGATTAATTATCCATTATGAAGTTTCAACTACAGAATTATCATGTTATTAATCATCTCATCGTTTAATCTAATCAGTATTAATCGTTACTATGATTATTGTAATTATTTAAGAAAAATGACCTCAGGAGATACAGAAAATTAGCTTGTATTATTTTCTATAGAAGCTGAGTCCAAATGCTGTTGAGTTTCGTTGATTATTTCGAGTTAATTGGTTCAATTTTTTCCATGAAAATCTGTTATCATTGATTTTCTATTCCATCAGAACTTTTCGTTTTTTTTTCTCGTGTTTCATGAACAATGTTTTCATTACTATTCGATGTTACTCCTCTCGAAATTGTTCTGGATTTGTCATTCCAATCAAGGTGAAGAGTTTCAATGGGAAATAAACAAGAGAAGATCGAATAGATAAAGAATAACCTTTGTATGGAAAACAATGGAAAAAAGAGAAAATCTCTCAGCCTTCAGGGAGAATGAAGAAATTTTTCCTGATTCTCATATTCCAATTGCTCCTATTATTACTAATAAATTCATTAAAAGAACTCAACAGTTAACATTTCGACTACGAAATCAGTTGTGTTACTAATCAACAATCAGCTCGAATCATCGGAAGTGCAGAAATTGTTAATTTACGTTGTTAAGAGTAGCAATTGAAATTGAGCAACGAAATTTGCTTCCATATAATTTGCGAATTACAAATTGTAATTGGGAGAATATGAAATTGTGAGGAAAAAAATAAGAGAAAAACAGAAAAATTCTGCAAATGATATTACTATTATATATTAAATAGTAATGATTCTGATAATGATGATAATGATAATGAATATAATGTTATTATGGATGATTTAACCTCATTTTTTCATCATCATCACTCTTTGACTTTGTTGCTTGATGAATATATAGTTGGATGTAATATTTGAGATGTAAAAAGTTATTCTCTCTCTCATTCTCCATGAAAATGAATACTTTTTTCACCCTCTACTGAATCATCATCATCATTAAATTGACGATCTTGAAATTAAATCCATAAGGAAAAGGAAAATTGTTCAGGTTATTTATCATTAAAACTTTTTCAAATTCTATTCAAAATCTATTTTCCTTTTCCGTTATTCTCTCGATTATTGGTAAAGTATTAGAAATATTTTCTGATTTCGCTTGTATCATTCACAGAAAAAAAGAGAAAAAATTTGACATCCTAGTTCTCATAATGAATGTTTCTTGATAGAAATGATGATAAACTGATAACACTATTCATAAAGATATCAAAATCGTGATTGATTATTAGCTGAGTTCAAGAATAAATGTCGCTTTAAATGAATTAATTGACCTCAATAGGTAATTAGAATTGAGGTGAAAACTTGACGACAAATTTACCAATACCAATGAAAGTATATTCACTGGACAATGGGTATTCAACAATACGTCACAGGAATAGATTGTTGTTATTTATTACTTTCTGTCTGATGTTTATCTAGTAAACATTTTAAGACAATTTCTGAGACCCAGGTATGAGATGGATGACCAATCAGATGATGACCATGAACTTTTACCACCATCATTAGAGCTCAACATTAATGAGAAACCCTACCAAAATTGAACCTTTTAAATATTTCAGCTTATTACCTGTCATTTCAATTCATCATCATCATGGTCATTATCCTTCATGGAATCTATTTCCTTTCTCTTGACCACCACTAACCAAACAGTGTATTAGTTGATTGGTAAAAGAAAATGGAGAAGAAGAAGAAAAAAAAACCTTGACAAAGAGAAAAATAAACTTGAATTCTTCGTGTTCAATTAAATTCTTACTTAGACCAATCAAAGTTCATCATCATGGTAGGAGAAGATAAAATTCTGGAGACAAATGATGAGGAAATAAGAATCATCTTAAATAATAGCATTTCTTTTTTTTACTATGGAACAAAACAAGAAAAATATTAGAACAAAACTTTTGAATAACTTTTTTCTTCTTGCGTGTTTTGTATTTTCTTATCAACATTCTGATTGATTGAACTTTTTTTTTTCTTCTGTTTTCATTATCCTTCCATGATGATGATCATGTTAAATCATAAAGTAAGAACAATAATTTCCAACAATCTTCTTGGAAGATGAAAGAAAGTTACAAAACAAGGCTAATATAAACTTCCTGGTATCTATCACAAATTCTTTGATAATGAACAATTGATTTCAAATCAATCAATCAATTTGTCTCCTATTGATTAACAGTAATCATTGTTTGTTCAGCAAGTTTCAGGATCATTATAACAAAAATGATGATGATAAACAATTGTTTATCACAATGTTATTAATAACAGCATGTCAATGGTATCAAACTTTATATATACTTTTTTTCATCATTAGTTTTTGGATCAACTGTTAATCAATAAGAGAAGTGGTAACAAACTTTTGTACAGAAACTTTCAAAAGTTTGCTTGTTCTAAAGGTCCGTGCTTGTGAAACATGTCAATATAAGAATCAATTGTGATCTAATTGTCTTTTTATCTTCGAAAATTAGAACCAATCCTTTCCTCGGTGTCTTTCTCGTACTCTTCAAATTAGCCCGTCGATGTGTGGGCAGAGACATTTCATCAGATTTTCCTATGAACGGATACCCAGATCATTTTCAGACTGTTCGCATGAACTTTAGTATCCCAGATGAAATTTTTGGTGTCCAATTATTTCATAGAATCGCCGTAGTTTTGTTATAAAATTGTTCTAAAAATTTTGCTCGTCTTATGATATAATTGATAGATTATAGTGTTATTATTATTATCCATCAAGTTCAGTGAAAGGGAAAGTGAAAAAAACTTTTTAATTTGCAATAGTTTACTAGCATACTCATAATATGGACAATAGTCAGTTTGCTTTGATAGAGACAGAAAGGGATTGACCAAAGGCTAGTCAACTATGAACAGATTGACAGGAAATCAGAAAGTGTTGAGCAAGAAAAAAGAAATTGATTATTTTTTCTTTACTCTTTTCATCCTAATTGTAATAACAATCAACAACAACAATGATGATGATGATGATAATAACGATAAACAATAATATGTTTAGCTGCCAATTGGTGGATTGGGAGAGAGAGAGAGAGAAACTTATATCAGAGATTAATTCTCATTACTATTATCATGCTCCTATTGGAACTTATGAACACATGGGAACACATGAGAATCTAATACAATGAACATTAAGATGAACATGAGAAAATTGATCAAGACATTTTTATTATTTCTAATCATAATTATCAACAGAAATCCCATACATTGTTATCTTCTTATTTTCAGATTATTACATTTGCTTCATTGTCTTAATCCATTTAAACAATCAATCTTAAATTGTTTCGAATCATTAACAATTAATTAACAGAGAGAGGGAGAGAAAAAAAAAGTTATTATATTTGGAATGACTGATTTAACCTATCAACTACAGTCTCATGTCTTAGGAAAAAAGTTAATCACTTCTTTTATTAGATTAATTGTTAATTCAGTTTCGAGGTCATCGATATCATCGTCATGATAATCATTTTGTTATTCTGGTCATTCCGAGATCTTTTTTTGTTTAATTGCTCTTTCATCAATAACTTAATACATTAAATTTGCTTGTCAAGTTATCACTTATTGTTAATCTAATAGTTATTAATGTTTGTCCAGATTTCAATTGACCTCAAAGGTGACCATTGGCTTTTCCATGAATAAAACTATTCTTTTTATACTTTTCATCTTTTGATGGACATTCTGAATTCTAGCGGAAATATTTTTTATCGATGATAATTTTGATTGATGCTAAATTGTTACTTTTATTAATATTATTATATAAATTGAGTACATAGTAAATGTTAATCAATCATTGGAAATAACTGACAGGGTGAAAGAGATTGAACAATTGTCAGAACTTTGAGATGATAGAAAATCAGAATGAGATAAACAAACGATTATCTTGATAACTTTTTGTACTTCAGATTCACAAGTAAAGTTTAATGTGTGAGAATCATCAAATGAGTTCAAATGCAAGAGAATTTCAACTTTCTGTTTACCATGATGATTCCGATAAATAGTCAGAATTATGTTGATACCAATCGGATGAGATTTCCATCTGATTACAACTCCAACAGAGATGAAATTTTACTTCTCTCTCTCTCTCTCTCACTAATTCCTTTAGATAAACTCCATCTAATCAGTTTCTTATAGTCTTATAATTATAATTATCATCTTCATCTTTGAAAACCATTTATCTTGATTAATCTTGTTCATTATTTAATCTAAGATCATCTTTTACCACCCACTTTCTTAATGATTAACTTATTTGATCAACTTTAAATCAATTCAATGAGTGATACAAAAATTGCATGATGAAAGTTTCATGAGACAAAAATGATTCAATATCCGTTTACAAGTTATCAATACACTTGCATGCACTGATTTCTTAGCATTAAAGATTTTATCAATTCCATCATGAAGATTTGTCAACTAACTAATTTTACTCTCTACTTACAGGGTATGGATGGTCAAGATATATTAAGATTATTCCGTGAAAATCGTCGACTTCCTAAACCAGAAAACTGTCCACAAGAAATATATCAACTCATGTGGAAATGCTGGCAATTCAGGTAAAGTATTCAAGAAATTCAAAGTTCTCAGTCTAAATTTATTACGATTCGAGATGGAAAAAAAAAGTTATAACAATAAATCGTCAACTGGCCTGTAAACAGTCATGAATCAGCATCGAAAATGATAATATAGCTTAGACAATGAGTTGAACTTTTCGTTTATCATGAATAGTCAGAATTCATGATGTCAGCTGAAAATTGAAAGAAAAGAAATGAACAACCAGAACGAAGGAGAGAGAGAGAGAAAAAAAATGAAATGAAATTCTGATTCTCGTTAAAATTAACTCAATTCAATTAGCATTATCATCTACATGTAAATGGATAATGTTCAATAGTATTATCGTAAATGATTTTTACAGTTATTAAAGTGAACTTATTGACTGTGAAATGATATTCTTAATGTTTCCCTGAACAAAGAAAAATGATCATGAATCATGATTATCGCAATCTCTTGTTAATTATGTTTAATAATATTACAATTTTGTGATGATAATTGAACAGACAATTTAATAATGAATATTTTTCTCTTCGATAGGCCTGAAGATCGTCCAACTTTTTCTGAGATATGTCAAACCATGACAACGTATTTTCTTTGCTCAAATATTTGATAAAAATGTTCTAAAGAGAGAAAAAAGTTTCCAGGAAAATGTAAAGAGGTGAAAGGTCGTGAAAAAATGGAAACTGAGGCAATAAAGTGAAAATTCTGAGCGAGAGGAATTGTATCACATTAGATTAGCAACAATCAAGCTACCAAGAGGAAGGAAAATGAAACGATTCACTGAATGAGATATTAAATGGAGAGAGGAAAACGTCAATTTCAATTCTGCTAATTTGCTAAATTATCATCATCTCCATTCAGTTCTATCACCATCTTCACCATCATCATGCAAATGGATCGAGAAACATTCAATTCTGAATACAATGTATCTAAGTGATCATCATCATGGAAGATACAGAAAAAAAAACTCCAACTGGAAACAATGGAAACGGATGTTAACTTTTCATAATTAATGTAAATGCTCATCAAAAGATTCATATAAATGCTACTTGAGCATGAACAGTTATCCTCATCATCACCATGAGACAATTTTAATCAGGGGCTGAGTAGGATGCTGGAAATAATTTATATTCAATCGGATTAATAACAACACTTTTTGACTAAATTTTACTACTTATTTTTTTCCTCAAGTTGATTTATCGTTTTGTATCAGATGAAAATACGATTTGGTTAATCAACTAATTCATCGTTAATCTAGAAAGGTTAATCTTATGTAATATAATCTGAAAAATCTTGTAATTATCCGATGTAAATTGTTATGTATTAAATTTGAATTTAAAAAGTAAATCTATCATATTAAGTATTATTGGAATATATTATTTCATCTTGATATTGTAGATGATCAAATTTTGTAATATTAGTAAAAGATGATTCTTTGTATAATTGATGTTTATCATCATTGGCTTGGCTTTTAAATGCTGATCAATTTCATAGATCACATATTCTAGGATTAGAATCGAGGTTTCCTTAATCATCATCGCAATTAATTAAGACAGGCTGAGTTAACAAGATTGTGACCAAACTTTCAATTCTGTTGGTTTACTGAAAAGCAAAGAATCTTGAATCATTGAAATATCCCGCGAAATGTATGATCGAAACTGGATTTGGTTCTTTCGATGAAGCGATATAGCTACTCGATAGTAGACCAAGTTATTGATAGTTCGTCTGGTGATATAATTGCTGAAGAATTCGATAATAGAATAGATTCGAATTATTGATTTGTCTCTTAATTGTTTGAATGGTTATTAAAAATTGTCGCTTGGTCTTCATTTGATCATTGAAAAAACTATTACAAAATCAACTTGTAAGTCGCCATCTCATGGGGAATGTATGAACAAGCTTTACCTTGTATTAGACAGAATAGTTCAGAACGAAATTATCAGAATATGATATTAAATTAACAAATAGAATATAACCTTACCAAATTGTCACTTGTTCTTGATAGATTAATTGAGCTATTTGAAACAATTTAAATGACGACGAAAAAACATCTTAATACAATAATAGTACTTTAGTTACGATGGTATTTGAATGGTTATCATGTGTATTGATTAACAAATTGTTGTACATGTTGAACGAGTTTAAAAGAGGAAATTGTTTACATAACAATTAACAGATCAAATCGTTGTTGTTAGTAAATCAAATTCTTCACTTTTGCCTTCGTTGGACTTGTTCCAAGCGAATTTGAATTGTAATCGAAACTACAAACGAAAACACAAAATTCTGGTCCGTCCAAAAATGTCACTAATTCTGAAAGCGGATAAAATTAATTCAAATAAATCTCGATACCAACCATTAGATCATTTGCACTCTATTAATACAATTAAGGAATAAAATTGAAATGTTTCAACATTTTTACCAACGAAAGTTTAATTTGAGCGCAATATTTTTTTCTCGTAAAATCGTAACCTAAGCAACGAAAGTTTTTCCCCTTATAGGGAAACTGTTTACTTGGAACAACAAGAATGAAAGAAATTGTAACAATAACAATAACATAAGAGAATTGTAAACAAACCAATCATCATCTTCTTTGTTTTCATCGTTTGTTGTTGAACAGTTTTTTTTTTGCTCTTGTTGTGAGAGAATAATTAAAATTGTAATTATATTGAAAGTATATTTTTTTCCCCTTTCTTCTTGATTGTTTCAATTGTGAGATTAAAGATTAATTTTTAATCATCGTAACAAAATCAACACCAAGTAAACAAAACAATGGACACTCTTAGACAACAAGTGATGATCAACCAGTTTGTTGTGGTGACAGGATGTAATCATGATCAAGCTAAACAATTGTTAAACAATTCTAATTGGCAATTTCAACGAGCCTTGAGTATCTTTTTCCAAGAAGTACCAATTACAAGTCTGAACGGCAGCGGCGGCGGTGGTGGTGGTGGTGGAGGATTTCATTCTGCTGATCGTTTATATCCATTATCTACACCAGCTAATACACCCGCTACTCCACCTAATTTTCCGGAAACACTTTTAGCCTTCTCTAAATTGTCAACCACCTCTGAAGTTGCTGCTACCAAAACAAATTCCAATATAAACAATAACAACAACAACAACATCGTCAACAATAATAACAATAACAACAACAATAGTACTACGATAACCAACACAACAACAACAACAGGAACAATTAACAATAACAATGTTACACAACATCATTTACCTCACCATGGAATCGCTATACCTCAACATCAACCCTACAGTCATCATCATCGTCTTCATCAGCCTCATGTTAACCATAACAATTAGAAATCAAGAGCGAGAGTGATTTAAGTTTTCTTTCCTTATAATACTTTTCTCTATCTCTCTCTCTCTCTCTATCAATCTATCTTTCTCTTTCTCTTCTCCTCTTGTTCGTGTGTAGCTTCAAAATTTGAATCGAATAAATTTTTGAAGAATAATGAAGAAAAGAAGAGATAATAAGTTAATCATCATGTAAACAAAGAAAGAATCGAAAATCTTTTTTCAGGGACAAAAAGGAGGAGAACAAAAAAAAAAGAAAAAGGAAACAATATATATAAAATGGCGCCATCTCCTTCGACTATTAACTAATCATTTTGATGTATATATAAAAGAAAACTTTAAAAAGGGATTGTTATCTAATTATCTCGTTTGAGCCTCGAAATTTTATTCGGTGTCCATCAAATGAGAGAAAATTGGAATGATTGATAAATCGTCCTCTCTGTGTCTCGGTGAATACTCAAAGTCAATCTCTTTGTTTACGTTTCATCATCAACATGTTTCTCAAATGTTTCTCTTTCCAGTTTGTTTACATTCTGAATTCGAGTCAGAATCAATTAACCATTTACCGCATTCTACAGTCTCAATGTAGTTCCATTTGTGAGATTGAACTTTAAATTCTCGCAATTAATTCACGTAATTAGTTAACCACTGAAAAGATTAGACAATGACCATGAAAATGCTTTGTTTACATTTTGTTTCTCGATTGCTCGATTAGCTCTGCCATCTATTGGTTGGATTTTCAATGTTTTCTTTTTTCTTTCAACTTTACTTTCAGCGTTTTGTTGAAATATTTTCCGGTCATTTCGTCAGGAATGAAAATGCTACTGTTTCTCAGAAATTTTTGCCTACCGAATTGGTTACCAGATGATCATAATAAGGTCCAATGATACCAATCCACCAGGAGAGCGAACATTGAATGATGAAAGTTTCATGAGACATTTTGATTCTGTAAAACTGATTCACCATTGAAAATATTTCTCGATTCAACTTTATCGGCAGTTGAATTTTCGTAAATCTAATCAACAAGAGAAAAATTAAGTTAAATGGCATAACCTAAAACGAATTTAATATCGCTAAGACTTTTTGGTTCGATATTTTCTTCCATTTGCAATATTCACAATTTCTCTGAATCTTTCTAGAAAAAAGTTCTCACTGAAATGGTTGAATTGTGAATCTCTTTTGGAAGCTCATGTTATAAATGCACTGGAATAAGAACCAATGTACTGGCATTCGCTTTCATGTTGCTGGAGATAAACAATTTTCTTCTTTTTTGGTTCCTTTTTGGGTTCAAATGGCGAAACAGTAATTGATTGGAATAGCAATGGATTCGAAAAGAGAATGAGAGAGCTCGATAAAGAGCAGAACGAGGATAAAGACTGCGCATCGAATTTTGTTAAAGTTCTTTTCTCATAAATCGATAGAAGAGAATCCAACTAAGGTTTACTTGGAAAGAGTGAGAAGTACATAAAGAAGAAGAAGAAGAGAGGGAAAAGATCATGATGATGATCATCTAACAAGAGTAAAAAAAGAAACTGATGATGATGGAATGAGTGAATCTGAAGTTTCCTCGTTAGTTTCCTTTTAGGTTTCCTTGTCTTCCGTTGATTCTTCATGTTGATCCTCATCATGTCCAGAATTTCATGATAATCAGTATCTTCATTTGATAAACAGATTCTATCATCGATATCAATAAAGATAATCAACTCTAATAATATTATCAAGTTGCTTCCTTGCTCCATCATCATCAAACAGTGTTTGCTTTTTGCTTTGGTAACTTAATTGTGTTCATATTGCAGTTGGAGGATTGATTCAAATTTCCAATGGATTCAAATGGTTCACATGATATTTACGAGGTGAAAGAAATTGTTGGCATGAAAAAAGTTTCGGTAGGTATTTAAATCATTTACCTTCTAATTGTGAATAAGTGATTAGTTTCTGATTGATTTTCTTCACTGTGATGTATTAATTGATCGTGAAAATAGGTTGACAGTTGATAATCTCGATCGATTATTCAATTTTGAATTAATTTCCATTGCAAGTGATTCAGATTATCACCATTTTCTTGAGTCTTCATGTAGCATTTTTCAGAATTTTTTCCTTGATTGTTATTGATTATTTTTCTTCCCTCGTAATTATTTCATGTAATTATCGCCAATTTTGAACAGAAAAAGTGGAATCAATTGATTTCTACCTACAATTAGTAATTAGTTGGCTCACAACCTTAGGGTTTGTTGGTGTTTTCTTTTTCTTTTCTGGTGAATTTCTATTGAAAAGCAATGGATGTTCCATGTTCTTTCAGTTTTATAGCAAAAAAAGATGAGGAGAAGATAAAAGATGAAAACGAAGAGGATGAGGATGAACAAGAAAAAGAAAAGAGAGAGAAAATGAGAAAAAAGAATGAAAATTCTGTCAAGAGAAGCAAGGGAAAAGAAGGAAAAAAGAAGAAAAATCGATGAGAGAATATACTTGTATTCGTATTCTCTTTCTCTTTTCATGGCAAATGCTCAACAGAACTGAATACTCAGACTCTTTCTCTCCAATATTCTTTTATCTTTGTTCTTCTCCCTGGAATATCACGAGAAAAAGGAGATTGTTGCTTCTTTCAGAATCGATTCTATTTTTCTTCTTCCTTTTATTCAGTTTTCATGATAAGTAATCGAAAGACTTTCTTTTCCCCTGGAACATTGAGATATTTATGATGTGATGGAGAGAGAGAAAAATCTATTGATTTAGACTTTAGAAAGAAAGTAAATACATCAAGCAATTCATCTCGATGTTTTCGAATCTGTTGTTCTTATCGACGAAAAAATTTATTCCTTCTCTTATTCTAAATCAATAATTATTCAAATAATTAAGCTAATTGTTTTCATTTATGTTCTTTCATCATGTCTACAGGGTGAATACTTTTATAAGGTACGATGGAGAGGTTATGGACCCGAGAATGATACATGGGAGCCCCAGAGTAATTTCTTTACCTGTCACGATGTAATCGAAGAGTACAAGAGTAAAATTAAAGGAAATTCTGTTGGAAATGGTTGTAATGTTGTAAAAGAGAACGAAAATGAAAGTAAATTGTTAAAATCGAAAAGTAATAAGGTAAATGGTGGATCTCGTCGTTATTCAGATAAACTTAATTCTTCACAAGGTTCGACTTGTTCCAAGCGAATTGGAATTGTAACCAAATCAAATTGTGCTCGTTTACTTAAAACCCGCTTAAAAAAGTCGGCTTCATCTGTTGATTCGGATAAAGATCAGATCAGATCTCGTCGTTCGTCAACAATATTATCATCGTCAACCTCTCACACTGTTAAAAGGTTAACAATTAAAACGGAAGCAGATGATCAATTTGATGATTCGAGTTTGGTTATCAACAGTAAATCAACAACAATTGAATTGAAAGGAGTTAATAACATTGATGATAAGATTACCTCTTGTAATAATGTACGATTAAAATCTAATTGTGTAAATATCAATAAGAAATCAACACAGTTAAATTGTAATGATGATCAATCAAATAATCCATCGACCACCAGTTCACCAGTACCTCCATTTTTATCACCATCATCGTCATTTGCATCTTCACCATCCTCATCTTCCTCCTCATCCTCATCTTCTTCATCTTCTTCATCATCAACCTCATCAACCTCTTCATCCACAGAATCAATCTGGTCCAATGTTAATTACAATCTAAATCAACGATTAGGAAGTGAAGGTAAAACCCCATTGATCCGAGCATCAGAAGCGGGCAATGTTAAGCTGGTTGAGTTTCTATTGGATTCTGGTGCAGCTAAAGATGTCACTGATTCCGAAGGGAATACAGCTTTAATTCTGGTAATTAGATAATCAGAATTTGAAATATTGTTACAATTTTCTTCTGGAATAATTCTCACCAAATTGTTCATTTTCCGTCTTCTCTCTTAGGCAAGTCAAAATGGTCATCATGATGTTGTCCGATGTCTCCTTCTTTATGGAGCCAATTTCTCAATAATAAACGACGCTGGTTCGAGTGCATTACGAACAGCTAAATTGTTTGGAAACAATGAAACTCAACATATTCTAACTAAACATGTTTCTCAGTGAGTGTTGATCTTTGTTACCTTTGGATATTTACAATAGAGATGAAATTACCCTTTGAAATTCTGAATTGGATTCTATTGTTTTATTTTCTTCTCTAATTACACAGAATTACCATGGCATTGGAAAAGCAAGTTATTGACCTTCTTCGAAGTACAGCTCGAATTAGTCATGCTCTTTTTCCGATTCAATGTCATTCCTCGAATGAAAATGTCCGATTTCGTTTGTTGTTTAACTTTGATTCCATCGAACCAGCTCAACCAGGTAAGTATACATTCACTTTAGTATTGTAATTTTCTTCAGCTAATTGGTTCTCCTTGTTTTCTTTTAGGTGTAAATTACCTGTTGTTCATTAGTGATTCTACTTTCAGTCTTTTTAAGCCAATCTCATTGAGATTTTCCAAATCATCAGCCAATGTCAACGTTTACCTCAATCGAAAACCTCAAAAATCTCTAACAGAGGTAAGACTTAGTTCGAGATTGACTTATGTCCAATATAATTGATACGATTGTCTTTTCAGAATGTCAAGTATGTTTTCTCATTTACACCGTTACGTCGAGGTGTTAATGAGCTTCTACTTACTATTAAGGAATCAAAATTGCGAAAGTGTTTCATCATATGTGCCTATCAAGTTACTCTTCTCAACACTTCATCTAAAGTGGACATTGATTGAAATGATTACATTGATTTCCAAATAAATCTCATCATCAACCTCATATTAAACAACAATAATATCACAAGCATGATCATCATTATCAATCCAAAAGGAACCATATGACCACAATTCAAGCTCGAAATCAACAATAATAATATCAGCTGAGTGTCAACTGATGGTCACAAATTGTAGCGTTTATTTTGTTAGTAGTTGGAGTTGGAAAAGCTAAAATATTAGTTCTAAACTCATTGGTACTGAAAATGAACACAAAAGATTTGCTCATTAATCGACATAAGTACAGATTCACTTTCCAATGTGAATTTAATTTGATTAAATCAATACAAGTTTAACTTTCCAAAAGCTCACAAATATTGGAACAATTTATCGATATTATCCCAACTTATCCGAAATATACATTATCGGAATTACAGAAGACATTTTCAATATTATCACAAAGCAAAATTCTCAATTCTGGATAATCAAATCATTTTGTCTTTCTAATTATTCGTTGTGATAATAATAATATTACAAAAGAAAATGTTTCGTTCTTATTGTTTAAGTTGATCTGTTTTTCTTCATATGTTTGTGTTTATATTTGGAATTAATCAACAACAAACTTGCAATCAAAATCGAAATCGAAATCCAAGTGAAATCTTATCAACCAAAATCTCTCGATCTCGAATCGGACAATTAACCAAAGGTCCACACGACAATTAATCTACATTACGATTACAATTAAATTGTATTCTTTTTTCTTACTCTCAATGTGTTGATTACAATTTATCGTTTTCTTATTCGATTAAATGTTTTTTTCTCTCTCCCAAATTCATTCATCTTCAATTTCCCAAATTCTTCTCAATCAATGAGTAAATTATCGTAAAAATATTATTCATTCATCATTTCGAAGAGCCTTACAAATCCATTGATTAACCAAATTGTGGAAAAGTTAATCAACTAATTAGAACTTATTTACTTGATTTAAATTGATTTAATTTTATCCAATTTTCCATCTCGACGCAGTTTGTACATTGTACGTAATAACTAATCGAGAACATCATCTAATTATCAGATGAGGAATTAATTGATTTGCAATCAGTAAAAATTAATCAGGTTATCATTATTATATTGATTTATTAATCATTAATCAACTGAATAGAGTTGATTTCGTTGCAATTTGTCACTCGTTTAATTAATATCGAGTTAATTGTAAGTTATTATGGTTAATTGTTGACACTCCAAAGATGACACCTTAATTCACTTTGATACACCAATTGAATTAGAAGAGAAATCATCATGTTGATTATGATGATATTATATGATAATGAAACGAGAAATTAACTGATCCGGTTAGAGTTGAGTTGTGACCTTGATGAATTCAAATCTCTTATCGTGTGTGGGGATCATTTTAATGAATAAAATCACAGAAAAAAATCACCACTCACTGAATTATTAATTCGTTAGATTGATATACGTTACAATAGTAATATTCAGTTACCATCAAGGTTTTTATTACAGACATTTCTCTCTCTCTCTCTCTAACTCACTCATTCTCCCTCTCTTTTAAGTGTAACAATAGGATTTAAATGTAATTATTAATTTAGAGGGAAAATGAAGACAAGAAACAAAGAGAAATGTCTAGAGTTGTGATGATGGAAAAATAAACAAAATGGCGGAAACGTTGATGAGAATTAACAATCGACAAAAGTGATGATTAAAAGTTTACACAAATTACAACACCGAAAGTGACTAATTAACAGAATTAACAAGTGATATAAACTGTTTGATGGAAAATGTGTGTGTGAATGTATAACGAATTAACGAGAAGAAGAAAACAATTGATTCAATTAATTATGAAATAGAATAGAACAAAAAAAAAGATACTGAGTAATGATGAGAAGGTATTGGAAACACACAAGGTAATTTATAGTAGAAAATATAATCAAATGATCACATTTACCTAATAAAGAACAAAAGTGAAGTTAAAGAAAAAATTAATTAGTTAATTGTTGGAGAAAACATCAACATTATTTAATCATCTTTTCCATCAAAAACACTAATCAGAAGATTTTTATTTCTCGTGTTTACTTTTCTGTTGCCATGGTTACGTTATCACTTCTTCTGGTTAGTTACAGTTTCTCTCTCTCTCTCTCTTCCTCTGATTGTTGGTTAATTATCTTAACCAGTGATTAATTTTTTCTCTTCATTAGTTTCTATCATTTCTAATTGTGACTAATTAATAGCAACTTATTACTTATTCTAATTGAAATTTCTTCTTCTTCTCTTTTTAACTTGTTCTCTTGAAAAGAATAATCATTTTTTGTTCTATTCTATTTTCTCAGTTTCTTCTCTTTCGCCGTTTTCTTGGCTAATTTTTTTTTCTCTAATTTGTTCGTTTATCATTTTGATTGTTTTTTCTTTTTCTCTTTTTTCCATTTTATTAATGTTTTGCTTTGTTGCTTCTAAATAACAGTTTTATCATCACTTGTTAGAAGATCATTTTTTCAAACCTCTCTCTCTCTCTCTCTTCTCTCATCCTCATCCTCTCTCTCTCTCACTTTCATCTGATTAAATTCTATTCTATTTTCATTCAATCACTTGAATCAACACCGTTCACAGTAAACCCTTATTTTTTTTCTAGCGAATCTTTTTCTCCATCATCATTAAGTTGATTTTATTTTGGTTTTCGTTTTGTTGATTTGAATTTTCATCATTTGTTAATTTCTAAGACCTAGTTTTCTTTAATTACCCTGTCATGTGTTAATTTGTGCTCAGACTTGTTCCATTCTACCAATAATCAATCATCTCTGGAAAATTACAAACTATCAAAGAACAAATTATTGTCACAATTAATTGGCCAATATCATTTTTAATCATCACACCAACATCAATTTATTCTTCAAAAATCTTACCAATCTCTCTCTCTCTCTCTCTCTCTCTCTCTCTCTCTCTCTCTCTCTCTCTTTCTCTGACAATATTTTCCATCTAGAGCTTATTATCCAATCTAAATTGCTGCTAATAACTAATTACAAGATGAAGTTTTCTCACTCCTTCTTATCTTTCCATCTTTACCTGTCTCTTGTAATTTATTTACCTTTGTTAAACTGTTTGATCACCTCTACCTCCGATCCCTCGATAAATTCAACAATTACCATGCAAATTGGACCAAAATTTAGTTATAACAACGACACCAAGAAAGCCAACGAAACCTTGTCACTTCCATCTGAGCCCAAGTGTCCAAAGTCCTGCCGATGTACCATTGAAAGTGGTACACCAAATTCCCTTAAAGGTTACACAGTTTCCTGTTCGCGATTGGGTCTCACAATCATTCCTCCATCATCTCAAAGCCCTGTCGAAACAGTTACCTTTGACCTAAGCGATAATGATATAAGTCAGGTTAAACTTTTCGATCACGATTATCCCAATTTAACCAAGTTAAATCTATCTATAAATTCAATCTCCACCATTGAACCAAAGGCATTTGAATCGATACCAACGCTGGAAGTGTTAGATTTAAGTTTCAATAAGCTTTCCAGCATTCAAGATATGATTTTTAACAATCTAAACAACGTTAAAAAAATTGACCTTTCCGACAATGATATATCCAAAATTGCTGCCAATTCTTTTGATGGTCAACAATGGCTGGAGATTTTAATCCTACGAGGAAACAATCTTAAATCTCTACCTGAGGATTTATTTCGAAACAATGAACGATTAAGGATTCTTGACCTTTCTCATAATTCCATGTACAGTTTACCTGATACCCTTTTCCATTTTACCCCGGCACTGACCACCATTGATCTTTCCGAGAATCAGTTTAACTCTGTTCCAAGTGATGATTTAATTGGTGCAACTAAATTAGAGAATCTTGATATCTCTGCTAATTTGATGAAAAAGTTGGATCATGAATCTTTCAGTGGATTATTGTCATTGAAAACTTTAAAGATCAACAATTTACCTCAATTAACTGAGATCGATGATTACACCTTTTCCTATCTACATAATCTTCAACATCTTGAGATTAAATATAATCCAAGGTTAAATCAATTGTCTTCATCAGCGTTTTTTGGTATCACTTTTACTCCAATTAATTTAACGCAAGTTGATCTTTATGGTAATCAATTGTCTCGACTTACTGAGCATACACTTCCAATTTGTAACATTTCACGAGTTGATTTACGAGATAATCAATGGAAATGTGATTGTCATTTTGCATGGATTAAGTCATGTAAACACGATGATCCCATTCACCAGCAAATAAAGTAAGTACAAATCGTTAATTATCTTAATTAGTTACCCGTTTCCAAAACTGATTGTTCAAAGTGTTTATCAGATTTTATTTACATATGAGAACCTTTCAATTTGGATAACAATAATACTCAAAAAAAAGATCGCTGATCTTTTATTATAATAATAATATATTTCATTCTGAATATGAATCAAGTTGAGTTACTGAACTTTCATTGTCAATATGAAATAATGATTAATGTGCAATATCATCTTCATAGTCACTAACTTTTATCATGATATCATTTCCTGCTGGAAGTGTACATACAATCATCACCGTAATGAAATTAAGATAATCAAAATTCAATGATTCAAGTAATATAATTGTGATTCATGATTAAAGTATTGTCTCTGTTTTAGTTAATTTTACACACTCAATTTAGTTCAATTATCTGTTAACTGATCTTTTAATGTCAATTTCATTTTTCATGATGATCAAGAAATTCAATTGAATGTCTGTTCATTGACACTGACCATATTTACTTTCACCTTATACAATTAATAATCATGATAATTACAGTAATTATAGACCTGTTGACTAATTTACTAATTGTGATACTTGGAAAGTGAATCTAATCATGATCAACATATATATGATTAAGATAAGGTGAATTTTTCAGTCAAGTTGCTCCAAAGCTACAAATCAATTAATGTCTTGATCATGATAAATGATTTATCTTTTTGTTTCCATTAATTATTCTGTTGATTATTTACTATTAATGTCTAATTTTTTTTCTCTCTTTTTCTCTTTACTCTACTTTAGGTGCACTTCACCATTACAACTTGCTAGTCTTGAGATCGGTGCCATCAATGTAGACCAATTTACCTGTCCAGCTGAGGCTAATTCTTTCAGTCGAGAGATTCGATTATTCCGTCTATTTGTAGTTCTCTTTGGTGTTTTAACTCTTATTTTCATGGGCTTCATGGTAATTTATTATCTTCATAAAGCCAAAGTAATCAGATCTTTTGGACACAAGTACCAACGAATGGGCTCCATCCATTATGTTAAAGACCAAACCACTGATATTGTCCCAGAATAATTAGATTCATTTCATTTCTTTTTTACCAAAGAATCAATTTAAGAATTCAACTTAAAGTTATTGAATATTATATCTCTAATCTACCACTAATGGTGCTTTTGATAAGAAATTATTACCAATTAATTTGCCACCGTTCACTAATCCCTAAGAGCACTTTGTATTTGCAATTAAATGCAACTGTTGCCTGGAAATCAAAGGAAGCTGAAGGAAATAATCAACTGGAGGACAATAAAGTGCCATAAGCAAAACGTTTACATTGCAATTTAATTTACTTTTCACGCAATCAAATGAATCAACAATTGACCTTACTTACTTTTTAACTTTAAAAAGGGAAATACACAAACTGTAAAGACATTTTTACTACATCCATTCATCATCATCGTAATAACTTTCACCATCATCAAACAATGAAACAAACATCATCAATCTCATTCGTTGATTATTGAACATTTCATTCATTTTCATCATTAACATGACTTTGCAAACTTACTAAATTGTATTATCAAAATTATCATAATGTAACACAACCACTCTAACTAACAATGTAATCAGGTTAGATTGTATTTCATTAACTTTACCTTTAATTTTGTTGTTGTAATACATTTTAATGAAAAAAATGTTACTTTTATTTAAAATTTAATCCATCAGATCATATCAATGGTTTTAATTGTTGATTGTAACAACTATTGTCCATTGATAATGATCATTCCATTTAATTGTAACCATTTCCAGTACAACCAATAAGTTCACAATTAGGATCACCATAATCACCGGAACCAGCACCAGTCATCCCGTTTAAATATTAATAATAATAATCTCTGTTTAATTTTACTATTAATATTATTAATAGTGATTATTATATGCTCTTAATGCTGATATGGTTTGTTGATTAATATCAACTTCATCATTTTTCCCTAAAAGCTTATCAATATAACAAACCCAATGTATATTTTAATGTAATATATTAATAAAAACCATGAAGAAAAAAAAACAAATATAAGATAATCACCATGGTAGATAAATCAGATTAACTTTTATGATAGTTTTTCATATTCAATCTATCGTATGTGTTTACCTTAATTGTTACGCTAACGGTTAAAAATATTATCTCGAGTCTTTTTAACACTTTGAGACTTGAATCCATTCAATCAATTATTATTAATAGATTAAAATTAACTTGGTATTAGAAACTAAAGAGTGTCTATTGTTAGAGAGAGAGAGAGAGAGAGAGAGAGAGAGAGAGAGAGAGAGAGAGAGAGAGAGAGAGAGAGAGAGAGAGAGAGAGAGAGAGTTTAATCAACTAGTAGATTAAACTAATAAGTAGGAAGAAGTTTGGATTCTTTCAATTCGTTACTCAGAGCTTGTGTTTGATAAGATTCCGAGATTTGGAGATCAGAAATTAAGTCAGAACGATTTATCGAATCAACTTTTTTTATTTACACCTCTCAGAGGTTAATGCTTCACACATTAATCACCAGACTGGGTCTGATGGCCTTTCGGCTCTGAGCTAATCACCCAGGTCACAAAGTTTTGTTCTAATATGATTACGATGTTTTGAATATTTATATAAAATTTATGAGGAGCGAAAAAATAAAAAAACTTTTTTCGGTTTTTGCGAGGGTTAGTTGATTGGAGAAAAGATAGATGGCGTTTAAGTAGAATTTCTATCAGCTGATTATTTTTTGTTTAGAAAATTTTTCTCACAACTTTGACCTTCAATTGTCTTAATTGTTGTTTCCTCTTAATTGTTTTTGTTAACTATTAATTGTTTATTTTCTTAGGTATCTGGTGTATTACCTGTGTTCTGTTAAAAATGGTTAAAAGTGAAGATCAATTTGGTAGAGCGTTTGACAGATTTGGAGCAAATTCTACTCATAAAATGGGTAAGTGTTGATTCTCTTCTCGTTTTACTTTTTAATTAATTGAATTTTTGTTTTTTCCTTTTAATTTGTTTGATCATTTTAGCTGTTGGATTAGCAGTTGGCTCAGTATTTTCACTATTCATCTTTCGAAGACGCTTGTGGCCAATTACATTCGCTACCGGATCAGGATTAGGATTTGCCCTTAATGATTTTCAACATGAATTGAACAAAAATTAACAGAAACTAAATTAATTTTTTCTTCTTCTTCGTTAAAAACCATTTTGGATCCACGATTATTTAATTAGAGCTAAAGAAAATTGATTTTATCTATTGATTGTATTGATATTATCATTGAACTTGACGTGAAGACAAGTTCAGATGAAGTCATTATGATGAATATTTACAACTAATGAATTTATCATTAAATCATCACAACACTTGAGTATTTATCCATAATCAATTGTAGAAATAGTTAAATTTACTATTGTTAATATTATTATAAATTGATTTCCGATTAATTTTATTGAAACTTTTGGAAAAAAACTCAATAATTCATTGGATATGAGACAAACTATGGATTCGGATTGGAAAATGATTGAAACTCAAACTATTCCATTACAATTTAGATCACCTTGTTAACAATTAGAAATTTTATCTCTAATGACGATTATCATTGATTAGAAATGTTAATTTTCTGAGTTAATTTCATTTTATCGGGTGAACTTTACTTACCGAATGTAATTAATTTTCTCAATATTTACCTCACGTACAATAAATCCAAATGAAAAGGTTGGAATCGTTGGCCGAACGGGCGCTGGTAAATCGTCATTCACGTTGGCACTATTTAGACTAATCGAACCAGTTGAAGTAACAATTTTTATCGACAATAAGGATATATATCATCACTTGGACTTCACGATTTACGATCACGATTGACGATAATTCCACAAGACCCAGTTCTATTTTCCGCATCTCTGAGAGTAAATTTTGATCCATTCGAGAAATTTAATGATAATCATTGGAACAAGGACTTGACCATCCAATCGCTGAGGGAGGTGAAAATCTAAGCGCAGATCAAAGATTTGAAAAAAGTTATTCCACCAACTAACTAGATTGATTTCCTGTTAGATTTATTAATTTGAAGTTGTTCAAATAAACAAGGAGCAATTGACCAATACAATTATGTATCTAACCTATTGGTCTGTGAGTTTTTGTTCATTCCGTCAAACGATAATATATCATATTATCAATAATAGTCGAGAACACGTTTAATAAGCACTTAGTTTCTCTCAAGTTTAATCAGTTGGTCGTTTGTTTACCATGAAACAAATGGCATGATAGTCAGAATATAAGTCGTATAAAAGCAAAGAATACACAAAATGAGCTTTTACTTTGAATTGATTCGTTCACTTAATTGTATTGAATAGAAAAAAATGAATCAAATTGTTACTTCAAGATTTCTCATTTGCTTCAGTTTCATCATGAGTTTTATTCTGTGTGTCTACTGCCCGGAACCTTCAATACTTGTTCCAATTATTAGAACCATTAAAGATCCCAGTGAGTCGAACGAGCTCATTAACATGTTCCAAACTGATGCTCCTTCATCAAGAATCGTTAGCTCTGGAGGCTCCCGGTCACTTGATGTACTTTTACCTGAATACCCAGGTACCATTTAATCATATGCTTCCACTCTTATGATACAATTTTTTTATTCAGAGATTATATTGTATCAATGTTAAAACGATTCGAATAAACAATTTGAGAAATTGAAATCCTTCAAACAATTATTAATAACCTGTGCTTAGAAATTACAAATTTCAGAGATACAATGTGCAGTCAAATTGTCTTGGGAATTCAAACTGATGAACATCCGAATTTAATGATTTTATCACTACAGTTGAGAAACGTGGTGTCGGAGCAATGGAATTAGTAGCTATTGATATGAAATTGCGAGGGATGTACATTGCCAGGCAATTATGGTGCTTGACAAAATTTCTTGTACACCAGGTTTTTGAATATAATTGAAAAGAGGGATGATTTATATTTAATTTTTTTGTTTTTAATAGTAATTTAGATAAGAATGAATAAGTTTAATTGATAAAAATTTTGTCTGGAATCCAGTAATAGGATTTTTTGGAAATCGGGAAAAACAGAATTGGACAAAATTTCTTGTACACCCCCACCAAAATTTATTGAGGTGTTTTTTTGGTTTGATTGTCAATTAAATTCATTGTTTATGTTATTACAATCAGTTTAAGACCCTTTTGATCAAAATCGGACCAGAGATAAAAAAGATTCACCAGATTGAATTTAACATGGGAGTCTATGGACATGACGGCATTTGGCCTGTAACTCAGAGACCATGCAGGTCAGTGTCATAAAAATTTAGGTACTTATAGTCCTTTCAGTTGCTTACAATAATTCAAAATTAGAATCATAATATTATCTTTATTTTTCACATCATAAGTCCAAAACCAAAAAATTTGACAAAATCTCACAAAAATCATAATTTTCAATGTAAATTTCCTATTAAATTGACATTTTTATGAAATTAAGTTTCGCTGGTGTTCATTTCAGGGTTGAAGAAATACCTTTATCTAGAAAATTTATTCGACTTTACGATCAATGTGTTGACCTTTGGGTTGATGCAAGATTAAAGTTTGAAAAAGCTTTAGAATTGATGGAAGGAGAGTCAAACATTAAGAAAGCGGTTTGGGCTCAATTTTGGGCATCACACCAGCGCTTTTTCAAATACCTTTGTATCGCCTCTAAGGTTAAATATGCAACCGTTTTGAAGCTTTAAAAGACGAAAAAAGTGTCGTCATTGGTTTACAATCTACTGGTGAAGCGAAAACTTTGGAGACACTTGAAGAAAATGGTGGAGAGTTGAATGATTTTGTATCCACAGCTAAGTAAGTTTACCCTTTAATTATCCATTTGGTCTCAATGTCTTTCTGATTGCACAATTGACTCACTTCAACTTTTTTTTCGTCTTTTTATTTTGTCTCTCTAGAGCTGTTTTCCAATCACTCATCGATAAACATTTTCCAGCTCCTAATCGAAAGAAAACTCTTCGTCTATTGGGCTTGGATTCTTCATCTTCATCTTTTCTTGCTGATTTGGGAATTAAAATTCAGCAACGAGGAAGTGAACAAATTCTGATTAGTGAACCTGTCGAGGCAGGTAGTTCTAAAAAAGATTCGAAGTCAAAAGTCAAGCGATTCAAGCGTGACTCTAAGAAAACTGATCTCGGTGGATTTGGATTAAGTGATTGTGATTCTAGTGATAGTGATGATAGTGATGATTTTCTTGAGGTTAAATCAAATGATTCTGATAGTGATGATTTCTCTGATATTGAACCTTGGGATCTTTGGCAGCAAAATAAACTCAAAGAAGAGGGTAAAGTGAAACGTGAAAAAAAGCAAAAGGTTAAAAGTAATCAAAACAATCAAAAGAGACCCAAGAGAAAACTTAAAATATCAAAAAAATTTGAAGGATTCAAAGGTGAATTCATGTCAGAACAAGCCGGTCAAATTTGTGAAGAGATGAGAGACGAATTATTACAAAATTTAGAAATTCTTGGTGAAGTTTTACCTCCCAATACATTAGACGAGCTGATTGAAGAGCTCGGTGGTATCGATAATGTTGCCGAAATGACTGGTCGAAAAGGTCGAGTTATATCTAGTGAAGATGGTTCAATTCAATATGAATCACGAACAGAAAATGATGTTCCCCTTGAGATTCTCAATTTAACCGAGAAACAAAGATTCATGGATGGTGAGAAAAGAATCGCCATCATCTCAGAAGCAGCTTCTTCGGGTATCTCTTTACATTCCGATAGACGAGCGAAAAACAAAGCAAGAAGAGTTCATATTACCATTGAATTACCTTGGAGTGCTGATAGAGCGATTCAACAGTTTGGTCGAACCCATCGATCTAATCAAGTAAATGCTCCTGAATATGTTTTCCTAATCTCAGATCTTGCTGGTGAACAAAGATTTGCATCTATTGTTGCCAAAAGATTGGAAAGTTTAGTAAGTATCAAGTAAACAAAATGATAATTTAATCTAATTTATTAATAGCCACTTGAGCCTTGAAAGAATCGTGAATCAATCATCAAAAGTGTAATTTAACACGATTTTCAACTTTTGTCTTTTCTCTTTTTCTAATATTTTTCTTTCTTCTCTTTTCTTCAGGGAGCATTGACTCATGGAGATAGAAGAGCAACCGATGCTCGCGATTTCAGTAAATATAACATAGACAATAAGTATGGTCGTCAAGCACTCGAACAAACCATGAAATCAATCGTTGGTTTAATGGCACCAATTGTCCCTCCACCACCCGGTTATTCATCTAATTTCTTTGCAGGTTAGATAATTGTCTCTCATTATGAGCACCAAGATTGAGAAAAAAAAGCTAATTTGATATTCTTCTCTTGTCTAAACATCCAATAGATTGTAAGAAAGGTTTAATTGGTGTTGGTATGGTGGTTTATGATTCCGCTACTCGACAATATACTCTCGATAAAGGTAATTGCAATTGAAATGGAAACGCTTTCTCTTTCAAATTTATCAATCACTTAATCATCTTCTTTTCTATTATACTTCGGTTAACAGATTATCAGGTTATTGCCAAATTCCTGAACCGTATCTTGGGATTACACGTTGAACTTCAAAATGCACTTTTTCAATATTTCAGTGACACACTTGATGCTGTTGTTAAACAGGCAAAGAAACTTGGATGGAAAACTGATGGAAAACACTCATCAGATGAAAGCACACTGAGGCACAATCATCGAGTGGGATAGTGATTCAGCTTCAGATTCAGATTCTTAGCTCATTCAAATTTCTCTCTCTTCTAAATTTGTTCCATAGGCGGCTTGTATTGGAACTAATCTGATTGCTGGCCATTTTTTTAGTTTCTTCGCCATTTGACTTCGTCTGTGAACGATTAACCTTTTTTTCCTGCTCGTTAGAAACGCTTGAGTTTGACTGATTGTAACAAATGATTAGCTAAATTCTAATAAAATGTCGAGAAAAGTCCAAACTAATCGACATAAAATCAATACGTTAATCTTTCTCAGATAAATAGTGGTAAAAATTTAGCATTACCTGAATAGTTAAGTAATTTAGTCTCATTCAATTTCCGATATTTTCGAACTCATAATCCGACTAATTCAGATCTCATAGAACCTACTTGATTAATCATGAAGGAAAATCTTCTCAATTAAGACTAAATTGCTTCAGTTTTGCTGTTAACACTCAACAGATTTGATTAGATTATATTATTACCCATGAAAAAGATGATAAAATGTAAAAACTCTGAACAGAAGTCTTGATTATCTTTCGATAGTAAACAACTAATAAACTCATTACTATTCATACATTTGGTGAATTGTTATTAATAAAATGTTATTACAATCATATTGTGGTCATGAATTTTGGGTAAGCGAAGTTCACAATTTAATTGTTTTAATCTTTCTAATTGATATTCTTTTTTATTCCAACCCTAATTATAACGTTAGAACAATTCATTATCCTGGAACACTGGTCATCCAGTGTTGTCACCTTGTTTCGTCGAGACTGGACTACTTTGGATTCCATCGGTCATCTTGATATTTTCCTTTCCATTCGCAATCACGTTTACCCTTCGTAATCCGAAACCCCCTCTCATTTGGACTTGGCGACTTTATATTAAATTGGTTCGGTTAAAGATCAAATCTAAAAAATCGCTCATATCGACTAATTCTGTTTTCTCTTTAATTAGCTATTCTGTATTATCTTAACCTCATCGGCCGTTTATGAAGTGGTCATTTCGTTCACCATCAAAAGTGAATCGTCTTTTCCTTATGAATATTTTTCACCGATAATAAGACTTTCATCTTTTGTAAGTAATCAAGTGTTTCAATTGAGATAATTTTCTAATTTGCATCTTTCTGTGTTCGATACGATAGATTATCGCTACAGTTTTACTCTATTTCTACAAACGTAACGGTGTTCATACTTCCGGATTACTTTTCTTCTACTGGATTCTAATGGTTGTTCAATTTTCTGCTTATTATTGGGTTTTAATTGATTCCAACTTTGTGAGTTATAAATTTCATAACATTTTCGTTACAAAACCATATGAAACTATGTCCATTGAGTTATTATTTATTCAGTTAATCTAAAGATTCAGATTCATTCTTGATTAATTTGAAATTGAGATGAAAAAGTCGATCAACATCTTTGGTTATGTTTCTCACAAAAAATAACCAAATAAGGTAAAGTTGCGATTCAAACGAAACAACGAATTAATTTTCGCTGTTTAAATCAATTTCTTATGATAGAACTCACGATCTTGGACATTTTCACGGTCAGATTTTCTCTTGAAAAGTACACAATTGGCCTTGGTATTGGTCATTTGGATCTTTAATTGTTTCGCTGATGATGTGGACATTGATCGTAAAGGAGGTTTCAATGTAAGTTTGTAAAGATCAACCGAGAGTAATTAAAACTATCTAATAATCAAATTAACTGATTTGATAAACAAAATCTTGTACTGTATTGTAATTGAGTAGTAAATTATTTACTCTTTGTTGATTTAAAAGCTAAAGAGCAACCTTTAATTGAGTAATTAAGCCATTTAACTATTTTTAATTGTCTTCTAGTCATCTGATAATTTCACTAAAACCTCAATTGTGTCCCAATTACTATTCATTTGGTATGATTCTATGGCTCTTCTTGGATTCAGAAAAACGATCACCCAATCTGATCTATGGGAATTACCTGATGAAAATAAAACTCACCTGATTCAAGGATCGTTTGAAAAGCTATTACAATCATCGTCAAAGAGCAAACAATCAAATGCAAATATTAGCACCAACAATTTATTACGTTTGTTGTTGATAAACTTTTGGCCTTATTTGATTGCTTGTGTTTTCTTTAAGCTTTTTCTAATTTTAATTGCATTTGTAAGTCCACAGCTTCTTGATTTATTGTTAACTTTCATCAAATCGGATGATCCATCATGGAGAGGTTATCTCTTAGCTGGTGGAATGTTTATTTCGGCTTTTATGGAATCGATGCTCGATTCTCAACATGAGTTCTGGATTCAAACAGTATCTATGAGAATGAGATCAGCTCTTATATCTGCAATTTATCATAAGGTAATTTGCGAAAAAGAAGATTTTATTTCTTCATTATTAATACTTAATGATACTTTTTTCAGAGTTTACGACTTTCTGGCTTAGGGCGACGGGATTACACTACTGGAGAGATTGTTAATATAATGGCAGTTGACACCCAGCGAATTACTGATTATATCAATACCATAAACGTCCTTTGGTCAGCACCTATTCAGATAATTATCACGATTATCCTTCTTCGCTTTCAAATTGGACTTGTTTCCTCTCTCGCTGGACTGGCATTCATGGCAACTTTGGTTCCAATCAATGGATACATTCGTACATTGGTTAAAAATTATCAGGCCAAAGTGATGCTCGAGAAAGATAAAAGAGCCAAAACAATGTCCGAAATACTAAATGGGATCAAAGTATTGAAACTCTATGCATGGGAAGGAGCTTTCGAAGACATGGTCTCAGATATTCGAGCACGGGAACTATTCTGGCTCAAAAGGCAAGCGATTTGGCACGCAGTCATTAATTTCATCGCTAATTTTGCTCCGTTTGGTGTAAGTAATGTTTCTCCTCCTTTTGCATACTCAATCAATGAATATTATTCATCATCTATCGTTGTCGTGATTCATTTATTAGGTGTCACTTGTTTGCTTTGCAACTTATATTTTAACCGATTCATCAAATGTCCTGGACGCTAATAAAGCTTTCGTTACAATCGCTCTAATTAATATACTAAGAGTACCTTTAACCCATTTACCGATGGTGGTTTCTTATGGAGCAAATGTAAATATCAATTAGAGTCTATTTGTTAATTGAGTGATTGATTGACAATTTTTCTTTCAGTGTATCATATCTTTAAGGCGAATCAACAAATATTTGCAAGGAGATGAACTTGACTTTGATTCAGTTGCTCATGAAAAGAATCATGAATATCCAGTTACTTTTGTAGATTCTACTTTCAGTTGGTCTAAAGATGAAGATTCAGTACTGAGGAACATTAATTTGACCATTGGAAGAGGTAAATTGGTCGCAATTGTAGGACCAATAGGTTCTGGTAAATCGTCACTTTTAGCTGCTCTTCTTGGAAATTTGTACAAGCGGAAAGGGATGGTCAATGTTTCTGGACGAATCGCTTATGTACCACAAACAGCTTGGTTGCAAAATGCTACATTTCGACAGAATATTGTCTTTGGTCAATCTTTTCGAAGTGAAAAATATGAATTCGTTGTTAACGCTTGTTCTCTTGTACCTGATCTAAAGATGTTACCTGGTGGAGATTTAACTGAAATCGGTGAAAGAGGAATCAATCTAAGTGGTGGACAAAAACAACGCATTAGTATTGCTCGAGCTGTCTATGCAAATTCTGATATTTATCTTCTAGATGATCCACTGTCAGCCGTCGATGCTCATGTCGCTTCTTCGTTGTTTGATAAAGTCATTGGTCCAAACGGTTTATTGAAAAATAAGACTCGTATTCTGGTAACTCATCGTATTACATTTTTACCTCAAGTCGATGAGATAATTGTGATGAAAGATGGATCAGTATATGAGACTGGAAAATACGACGAACTTATGTCCAAAAAGGGTCAATTCTATGACTTTATTGTTCAATATTTAGCAGAATCAGAGGCTCAAGATCAATTGGATGAAGATCCTGAAAAGATAAACCAAATGAAATCCAGTGTAAAGTCAGCATTAGAAGCACGACTATCATTGGATCGAACGCTATCAATTGGAGCTCTAAGTCGAAGTATAAGCCGCCAAAGTACACAAACATCCAATGAAATATCGATTGATAGATCAAACTCAATGAAGATCGAAAAGTTCAAAGACCAATCAGAAAATGTTAACAAAGAAAAGCACAAAATTATCGCTATCGAAACAGCAGAAACGGGATCAGTTGCTTTCCGAGTTTATTTTGAATTCTTCCAGGCGGTTGGTTTAGTCTCTATGGTGATCACATTTATATTGTACGTTATCTCGAGCATCTTGAACTTTGGTTACACTCTTTGGTTGACCGATTGGACTGAAGACCCAACGGCAGCCGCTGATTTCTCATCTAGACTTTATCGTCTAAGCGTCTATGCTGCTCTTGGTATGGGTGGATCGTTGATCATTTTAATCAACGCACAGATCATTGCATTAGGATTCCTAAGTGGAGCTGCTTGGATTCATAGCGAAATGTTGAATAAAATAATTCGAGCACCAATGAGCTTTTATGATACAACACCCATGGGAAGGATTCTCAACAGATTCACAAAAGATATTGATAATGCTGATACAACGATCACTTTGAACTTTCGAGGTTTTTTCAACCATTGTTGCCGTCTTGCCATCTCAATTGTCGGTATTTGCACTCAGAGTATTTATCTAGCAGTTGGGATAATAGTTGTTGGAATATTTTATTGCTTCGTTCAGGTGAGTATCAATTTTTGTCCTTCGAACTCTGAACTTTAACTGATCTCTTTTCCCATTTTCCAGAAATTTTACATTGCATCATCTCGACAGTTACGTCGCATAGAGTCAATTACACGATCACCGATCTATTCGCATTTTTCTGAGACAGTAACGGGTTCGACAGTGATTCGATCCTATGCTGCATCAGAACGTTTTATTCATGAGTGTTACCGTCGAGTTGATATGAACCATTCATCATTATTCTTGAACATTGGTGCTTCTAGATGGCTTTCGATTAGACTTGAACTTTTGGGTAACTTGATCGTGACCTGTGTTGCGTTTGCGGCTGTTATATCTCGAGGCTCATCGACTGCGGGATCAACTGGTTTAGCTCTAAGTTACGCACTTCAAATAACATCAATTCTCAATCTTTTTATGACTTCATTTTCTAATATCGAGAACAATATTGTTTCCATTGAAAGATGCTTAGAGTTTACTAAAACTAAATCAGAGGTAAGAATTAAAAGACTCAGCATTTCAATTAGAAATTTCAACTCGTGCCAATGTTTCTTCAGGCTTCATGGGTAAATCACAGCAATCGACCGAGAAAATCATGGCCTGAAAATGGAAAGATTACCTTGAGAAACTATTCTACTCGTTATCGTCCTGGTCTTGATTTAGTCTTGAAACAAATCGACTGTACAATAAATCCAAATGAAAAGGTTGGAATCGTTGGCCGAACGGGCGCTGGTAAATCGTCATTCACATTGGCACTATTTAGACTAATCGAACCAGTTGAAGGAACAATTCTTATCGACAATAAGGATATATCATCACTTGGTCTTCACGATTTACGATCACGATTGACGATAATTCCACAAGACCCAGTTCTATTTTCCGCATCTCTAAGAGTAAATTTTGATCCATTCGAGAAATTTAATGACCAAGAAATCTGGAGATCCATTGAATTATCAGGTCTCAAAGAGTTTGTTTCATCACTGGAACAAGGACTTGACCATCCAATCGCTGAGGGAGGTGAAAATCTAAGTGTCGGTCAAAGGCAATTGGTCTGTTTAACTCGAGCTCTTTTGAGAAAAACTAAAATTCTTATACTCGATGAAGCAACAGCAGCCGTTGATGTAGAAACGGATGAATATATACAAGAAACGATTCGTCGTGAATTCAATGACTGTACAATTGTAACTATCGCTCATCGTCTTAATACCATCATGGATTATGATAAGATAATAGTTATGTCCGATGGAGAGATTGTTGAATTCGATAAACCTTCCAATCTATTGTCTAAACCAGAATCAATCTTTTATTCAATGGTAAAAGAAGCTAAATTAATCTGAGCATCACAATGAACTTTTGTGGTTCCAATTGAAATAATATCATGAATTCGTTTGAAGTTCATTAGTTCAATAAATAAGAAGCAATTGATAAAGATCCAAACTATTACTCTGTGTCTACTTTTTCTCGTTGAATCGAATGACATGTAAATGATTAATAACGAATTCAAGTTGATTAAATTAGGATAATCACTATCGAAAAGTGCGACCTGGCTTATAATACTTATAGTGTATTACCATCAAGTATTAATAGAAATGTGAATGAGAAAATTTCAATGATAAATTGCTCATTGAAACTGATCAAGTACAACAAGTTTAAAATTACCGATAGATAATTTTTATTATAAAACTTTTTCATATCACAAATTGAATTGTCAACTGTCATTCTTAATAACAATGCTTATTGTTAAGATTATCAGTGTATATTGAACTTAGATCATTTTTTCTCCATCGTCATGTAATAAATTAATTGATCGATCACAAGGTTGTTTGTAACTTTGCCTCGAAGTTTATGAGTGTGTAAATACTCAGTTTGAAAATGAACTTATTTGAGATTACTTGTTTCTTTCTCATTCGATTGTGTCTCATTCGGTTTTTCGGTTACCTGATTCTTAGGAATCGGTTCAAGAAATAGTGGGATATTGGCGAATGATTTGTGGAATATATTGGCCATAAAATCGATTCCTTTACAATTGGCTCGATAATTAATTCGATCATGGTAAGATTTTGAGATTGGTCCATAGATAAATTTGATTGGTGTTCCCCACGATGCATTGAATTAAATTTTTCAACAAACTCTTCAGAATTTTTGTTAATATCGCAACCACGAACATCAACTATCTCCAATCTTTTCCAATAATAAATAAGCTGACGAATATGGCAATCATTAAATGCACAGTTTCCTCGAATAGCGATTGATTTTATGTTCGGATATTTATGCAAAAAAGATCCAAGAGAGCTCCATGACTGAATTGATTCATCCTATTGAAGAGAAAAGGTCAAACATTTAAATTATCGTTTACAAGTTAACGATTTCTTCATCAAATCGATACACTTACTTCATATTCGAGGACAATATCTTCCAGGTTAAAATTTTTCGAATGGTCCACAACTTGAAACTCCTTACAGTGGATAAAAGAAAGGAACAAACTTTTCAAAGATGGACAATTGTCAATGAGTAGCATGTAATGTTGATTATAATAATTCGTAATACCAAGTACGGCGATTTCCAGCATCTCAATGTTAGAAAAAGGTAGCCCATTGTATCCAACAAGAGTATCAGCTGAAATGAAAAAGATTTCAAGAGAAAATTAAAATCGATTGATCAAATCAAGAAGAGAAAAGAATACGGAAATTTCTGAGACAATCAACTAATTGTTTACCTCTATAGTACTCAATGTGTAATCGTTTGATGTTTTCCATTTGAGGTAAAACAACCCAAAGCTCCTTACAAACAGTTTCGATTATCAATTGACGATAATCATTTTCTTCACCACTGTCCGACCTCATGCTCTCAATAACTGCAGTTGAAACTGCATGACGATTAAGCTTCGAGGGAAATGGATAATTAAACCAAACACCGATCACATCAGGTCGACAAGCGAAAATGTCCCTTAAAATGTAGGCAGCGGGTCCACAGGCATCATGAATTTCCAATACCTTTTTTTATGAGGTTTGATGAGAGAAAATGTATTGAAAAAAATTAGAATTACCAATTGGAAATATTATTAACAATATATAGATAAATAATCAATAAAGGTAAACACAAATTAACTAACCTTTAATCGTGGTAAATTTTTCACATAAGACATTAAACTATTACGATCTCTTGTCTGGTAAAATAATGCATCTTTCTTGATTATTGTCTCACCTAAAGAAACAAATAGTCTCATATAGTAATTGTAAGATAATAAATTGACAATTAGCTAGATGAAAAGATCAATTTACCATGTTCCTCTGGAGAGACATAAATCAAATAGTTAACTTGTGAAAGTCTCGAACAAGCCAAGTGATACAATCGCCTGCAAACTGTAAAATTTACACGGAAAGAGAGAGAGAGAAAAATTTAAATAATTACAATACAAGAATCATCATTACAATTTGTACAAAATTTTAAAGAAACAGACAAAATTGATTAGATAATTACCGGTGCTTAAACTGAGGACATCGGAAACCAGAGAGATTTTAGATACAATAATGTCAAGTATTTCATTTGGTAGTTTATCGAAAGTCATGATTACCAAATTAACCAGTAATTGAACACAAATTAGACAAATAGATTACCACTGACAGAGGAAAATGAGTCCATTGTTTTGAGAAAAGGTTACAAGTTGAATGAGAAGAACCAGAAGAGATAGAAAGAGAAAGAGAAAGAAAAAGATCACAATTGAATATTCATATTTAACTTAATAGAGATGAATCAATTCACCAGAATTGCAGTAACATAATAAATAGATAAATAAATTTAAAATGAGAATAAATAATTAATAAATCAACTGTCAAAATAATAATTAAGAAAACAATAAATGTAAACAAGCAGAAAGGAAAGTAAATTTTTCCCCTTTCAGGGTTTTCCCTTTTTGGGTTTTCGTTGCCATGGTGATGACAATTCATGGCTCCAATTTTGATTCTGTAAAGGAAATGATCATTTAAGGGCTAAAAATGTGACCTTTTCATTCAGTACTTATGACTTTGTGTACTCGCAAGGTCACAGAAATGAAGCCCAAATTTACACGTGTATTACATTTTCTCAGATCCACCAAGAACTTTAGAGAAAATCGAGTTCAAAGTTGAAACTTCGAGTTGATTTTCCTCGGCAATGAGAATGCGACTCCAAAGTTTTCACTTGTTCGAGTTGAGTTTCCATTCGTTGAGTTAAATTCAGAGTGAAACTCTACTAACAATTAATAACTTGATCATCTTTTAGATGTCACCAATGATCTTGAGCATAGAAATTTGTTTTTCTCAATCATAACAATTGAGTATTAGAATTTACTACCAGGTGAAACATTCACATGCGTAATCAACTCTTTTCAAGAAATTAAATCAACTCGATGTTAGTTTCAATCCATAAGAGTATCAAGTAACTTAAGTCTTTATCTCAGTGTGAAAGATCAAACTTTGAACATATCAATCGGATAAAATTTGCTCGATGCTCGAAATTTTCTAGTAAATTGATTTTCAAATGAATGAAGACAAAAAAGAATCTAAATCAATGAGGATAAAAGTTCGTAAATGTTAATATATTTTCCATCTATTGAAATAATATTATTCATAAACTCTTTGAATATTATGAAAGCTCGAACATTGGATCGTTAATACTTTTAAAATTCGTTTGCGTCTTCGTCAATTTCGTAAAGCTTTTGCTCGAAAATTGTTTTGAATTGAATTTATGATTGATACTCATGTGAAGCTTCATAAATGTACCAATGAGCGATTCTTTTATTGGAGTATTCAAAGTCTTTGGAAGGCGTAAGAACACTTTCCAGGAAGGAAGTGACATTAAGATGACTCGAAATCTTTTCATCATTGACATAACGTGTCTTGGTGAGTATCCATTCATTTGGTATCTCTCTTTCTCTATCTGTATGTTACATTATTTTATCTTTAATTGATTAGGATTATCAACCACCATTGGAACCGGTATATTCACTTTGCTTGCTCATGCTGCTAAACATGAAACTGGACCTTCAGTTGTCCTTAGTTTCCTGATTGCCGCAGTGGCCTCGTGTCTCGGAGGTGAGTAACAGAAAGTTCATATTTTTTTTTGCTATTCCTCTGATAATGATGATGATAAATTAATATTGATTTTGTTTTGTTTTGATAAATTCTCTTTTTCTCTGTTTGCCATTTTTCTCAAGGTCTTTGCTATTCTGAGCTTTCAAGCAGATTCCCTGAAGGTGGTCCAAGTTATGTTTATCTCTATGCTACTCTCGGTGAGATATGGGCTTTTTTCATTGGATGGTCCATGATATTTGAATATTCAATAGCCAGTTCTCTAGCAGCTAAATCATTAACTTCATACCTTAATAATATAACTAATGGAACACTGACCAATATTTTTCACATACAAACTTCATCTTTCTCAATTTTACCTGGATTCGAGGGTCACTCTCTTGACCTTTCCTCTGCAATTATAATCATCTCCGCTGGAGCCTTACTTTACTTAGATTTGAAGGTAATCAATTAAATATTACTTTGAAAAAATTATCGATCAGTAGGCAAATCAACATCGAAGATGAAAGTTTTACTTATGTACAAGTTTCATCGAACCAAATTTTATAACTCGACTAACGAATTGATTCCCTAAAATTATCCGCTCGTTCGTTCTGAGCCACTTTAAATCTACTCAATAATTGAATGAATTTTTGTTCCATTATCAGTTATCCTGTCTAATAAACAATGTTTTGGTCTTCGTTTGTTCAATGGTCATCGCTGGTATTGTTATGGTCGCACTGTCTGATATGGACCCTGAAAACTGGACTGCAGGGGCTGGATTTTTCCCCAACGGTGTCAATGGGGTAATTACAATTTTCTTTTCCAATTTTTATCCTTTTATTACCTTATCATTTTCCACTTATCAATATATTTCATTAACTCCATTCTCATTGTCATTAACTTTTTCTCCGAATATTATTTTCTATTTTTATACAGATTTTCTCGGCTGCCTCATTGTGTTTTTTTGCGTTCCATGGATATGATATAATCGCGAGTATAGCCGGAGAAACCTCACATCGTATTCGTATTGTGCCTGTTGGTATTAGTTTAGCTTTTCTACTTGGACTTGTGGCCTGTTTTTCCTCTTCGGTTGCAATAACCCTACTCGTTCCCTATTCGTTAATGAATGATAATGCGCCAATTATACAGGTAAGTTTCTAATGATTGAGAATAAATAGTTTTTCCATTTAAAAACTGTGAAAATATTAAGGAGAGAAAAATATATCACCGAATATATTACCACAAATGATTCGTATCAAATTGACATGTTATCTGACAAAAATATCGTAGCAAATTGGATAAGTAGTTTTCTAGTTGATATTGATAATCTTTTGACTCATTTCGTCGATATCGAAATATTAATAATAAGTAAACTGAGGTTTTCTAAATCAAATCTATTAGTTTGATGAAAAGATAATTTTCCAAAAAAAAATAAAGAAATCGAGACAAAGAGAGACTATAATCAATCGATTTTCAATTTATATCATTGAGATTTTTATTCTCTATTTCTATTGCTGAATATTTAAAATGTTATCGAATCCAATCTGCTCAGAAAGTAAAAGAAATAGAGGATTGGATACTCGATCACTGGGAGTTGAGAATATCTTTAAATGTATAAGGATAACGCAAGCGAATATGAACAAAAATATTCAGATATGATTTACCAATGAAATGAATAACATGAGAAAGCTGAATATATATGAATAGTAAAGAATGATTATCATTTTAAATATTACAATTGTTATCGATGCTGTTACTTTTTTTTACTCAGGATTTTAGTAACAACGATGATGCTGGTAAGTTTTTTTGGTTTCCAATGACATGAAGGAGTTAAGGTTAAGCATGAAAAGATTTCATTGCTTAGTATCATCGCTTTTCTTGATTTAAAAGAAAGAAAGATTTATTAATAGGAAGAGAAGATATTTTCACCTTTACTTTTCTCTCTCTCTCTCTCTCTCTCTCTCTCATCTTCCTTTCGCACTTTTGATATACAATGAGAAAGATATTGAAGAGGAGAAAAATAATCCGGATGATTGGTTCAATGATTTTCACTCGAAATTGTTATATTGATAAAGAAGAAGGAAAAATCGAAAAGAGAAAACAAAAAGATAATGTAACTTATATATACGAATCAGGAATGAAAATATTTTTCGCAAGACGATGTGAAGATGATGAGATGAAAGAGTAAATCTCATATTATTAGAAGAGAAAATTGTTACCAGTAGCATAATCTTTAAGAGAAAACGAAAGGATGAGAATAGAAAAAAATGACACAAATGGTTATCATTTTCTTTTTTTTTCACCAACATTTCTCTCATTATTTTGGATTGTAAATCTCTCATCCCCTGATCGACTAATCTGACAATATTATTAATTGACCACAATCAATGGACCAAATAGATTGATCAACACTCATTGAACTCTCGTGAAAATGACAGAAAATTGTGTGTGAACTTGATAAAACTTTGGCGTTTCAATGAAATTCATTCAATAATAATAAGAAAAATCTAAGATGGATGAGAAAATCTACTTTCTTTTCACAGGCTATTAACTCAATTTTTGTCTTTATTCTTGGCATTTATAGACATTCACAATTCGTGGGTATGATTCAATGAAGTATCTTGTCATCATCGGAGCAACAAGTGGTCTCTATGCATCAATCATCGCCACTCTATTGGGTCTCTCTCGTTTAATATTCACCATGTCCTCGGATGGTTTACTTCCGGGTAAACTGTCAGCATACAATTCAACCAAAGGAACCACAACCATTGCCACTCTTTTCGCCCTCCTATTATCATCCATCGTTGCCTTAACGGTTCAAAGTTCAACCCTATTCCTATGGCTTGGAATGGGCTCCCTGTTATCTTACATGTTTGTCTCCATAGCGATTCTATCACTTCGCTACGGTTTATCTGAGCAACTTGCAATTGAATCAAGTGAACTAATCAACAGCGATTCTGTCAACGATTCATCAGCATTATCATCAGCATCAATTTCACCAGCGACAACAGCCTTGACCATGGCTACTGAGACTAATCATTTAAACCAATGTCTCGAATGTTCAAATCATCATCATCAACTTAATTCCAACTATTACAATGGATCATCTATTGATTTAATTAATCGACAGTTAATGATTAAAAATTATCAAACTTGTTCATCAATTAATAGAGGGAAAATGTCTCGTGCTAACGATAATCATGAAAAGCAACTTTCTCATCCTCATAACCTTTTACCTCGTTCATTTAGTGATTGTTTAATTACTCATCGTGCTTTTACCTGTGATACCAATAAATGTGACCTTTGTATGGGTCGACCTTGCCTCAAGCCGAATCGAACCTTCATCAAAGGAGCCAAAATGTATGGAACTACGGATAAACCTAAAGAAATGACCGTTAACTTATTATCTGAGAATAAGTTTATCACATCGATACCAAATGAAGTAAATTTATCAGAATCAAGGTCACTTGTTGCACAAGAATCTACAGGATTAGGAATTAGTGTTGATGATAATACTACCACCAAGAATAACCATAAGGAGTATGATAACTCACCTAATGAAAAAAGTGCTCAAAAAGTTTCTGGTAAGTGGAAACAATTATATACATATTAATAAATAATCCACAGAGATTTATATTATATAAATTATTACCATTGAGTAAATAAGTTATCAGAAAATAAAAACCGTTATCTTCATCAATGTTTAATGAATAAAAAGTAATACTTTCATTTTGATTAGTTTCGATATCTGATTCTAAATGTAACACATGAATGGTATCATGTTGATGTCTGTTAAAGATAAAAGTAAATCAGAATAGCAATCATGGTGATGATCAGAAATCATTTGAAAGTGATGAATAAAAATTGAAATGATAAAAAGTAAAAGCTTCTGGCTAAAAGTCTATCAGGATAAGTATTGTAGCGAAAATGGAGAAAACCTATTATCTAACAATGGAAATAATAAAGAGAATCCATTCAGAAGATTTTCTATCAATTTTTTTTTCTTTTTGACCTTTTTATAGTTTTTTCTCTTTTTTTCTGCTGATCTCATCTGAAAATCTCTTTCATTCTTAAATGAATCTTTTCTCTCTTTCCATATCTATCCTATTCCAATCCATTTGAAATTGAAAAGATTCCGTAATGATTTAATAGTAAACGACTTTCCGATTCTTGAGAAGAAGAAAAAAGAAACTGAATGAATCTTTTTCTCATTGCCACGCTCTCAATCCCACTCCAACTGATACTTCACACTTGGAACTTCAATTTTTCAATACTTCACATGATACTTATGTTAACTCTTGAAATCGATGAGAATGAATTTTTTTCCCTCTTGTTTTAACCTTTAAACTTGACAATACAACTATCAATAACCCTCTCCATCACATAGATGATGAATCTCACAACTTGATCATCATTATTGTCCACAAACTGGTAAACCCAATCATCATCATCATCATCATCATTTTTTCAGCTTATTTTTCACTTGATCAAATGTTAATCTGTATTTTTGGAATCCCTTTGACCTTGAGAAAATACATCAATCCAGAATTGATGGAAAAATCAATGAAAGATCAACAATTTTATAACCAACAGGGAAAAAGTTAATGTCTAAAATTTTGACAGAAAATATTTTTTATATCAAAAACTTTCATTTACCTTGAAACTTATCAATACAAGATCTTATTTCCCTTTCATCATGTATCATACTAAACCATGATGGTATCATCGCTATGGGAGCATAAAAACTTCACCTTTCAACCAAATATTACTCCACAGAACTTGATATTTCATCACAAGTTGATGATATCTGATTTTCCTGAATGAATAGTACAAAAATCAAAAATTTACTCTGTAAAAAAACTGAGAGAACTGTAATTTGTCTCATCACTTGAGGTGACATAAAATTATGTATCATTCAGTTGTTTTTTTATAACAACCACCCTGAAAGTTTATATATACATATCCTGGAAACAGAGTTTCATTTTGGAACGACAATAAAATTGAATACAAGAATTACTTTTCAGATGATAATAATTTAAAGTTTTCAAGTTGACAGATTCACGAAAATATTGATATTGTAATGATACTTGAATGAACAATGCAAATAATGGTAGAGGAGATTCAGGATTAACATTGAAGTGATATTATCATGATAAAATCATGGAGGAAAATGGGAGTTTTATATCTGGTTGACAGGTTAATTACAAAGTATGACTAAAAATTGAAGGTAAATTGAAACAATGACAATTGTTTAGTATTGTCTTTGGAAAACATTTCCATTGGTTTCTGTTAAAGCTCATGTTACAATGTAAATTAATGTATGTAAATATTATTAATATTGTTTCAAATTTTATCCTCATCTTCATGATCAACATGCATGAATATTTATCATGCAACACATTGACAATAAGCTATTGTCATAAAAGGTAAAGATTTACTGGAATATTTCAAATATTCAATGGAAATACTTGACATGTAAAAATTTTGTTGATTTAAATGTGAATACGATGAATTGTGCTCATTGTTTATCAGAATATGTGTACATACATGATGATTCAGAAAGTTCTGATATTTTTACCTTGAATCGAAAATTCAATTAGTCTTATTTTCAAACATTATCAAGTTATTATCTTGGAATATCAGTAAGTTCTGATAATCCTTTTAGATTTAAAAAACTTGCTCTTCCTTTTCACCCTGAAATGAGCTGGAAAATAAGAGATTAAATCATGTAAACAAAGGTGTAATTGTTTAATTGCTTTTATTGTTCAATACGATTAATGAATCCATGCTCTGATTGTTGAAGCTCCAATGAATTTCATTAGTTTCCATGTATTAATAGTTTTACAGGCATAATGATGAACCAAATGTTCATTTTCATGATAGTAATAATGATCAACTTTAATGTAATACAAATGTATATATAATACAAATTGAAGGAAAATAATGATTGTCTCTCATCATTATTGTTATTTTTTTCATTCAACCTGATGATTCCTATTGATTGACCTGGAAAATTTATATTACGTAGTTTTATGTGTGTTTATATGTGTACATGAATAAATGATTGGATGAACATGATTATCATGAAATCGTGATGATAATCAGAATAGAAAAGGTGTAAGAATATATTTATACTGAAAACGTTTGTAATACAATCAACAAGAATCACTTAGAAGATAGAAATGAATTGATGCACTTTCGATGTTCGAAATTGGTTCAATAGATTATTGAAATGTAATTTGGCTTCGATACCAATAGATTTACTTACAACTTGAAGAAGAAGATATTCAAAGTATCGCTAATAAGACTAATAGTTTGAGACAAATAACAAGTCAAAGAGAAAAGTAAAAGATATATAATAATAATAACACATACTGGACGCAAAGGTGAACATAACACCAAAGAAAGTTTGACAATATAAATGACAATTAGAGGAATATATTAAATCTCATGAGATGTTCATTAAAAGTTGAGAGAGAGAGAGAGAGAGAGAGAGAGAGAGAGCCAGACAGAGACTGAGAGTCAATATTCAGATATTTATGTTGGAATGAACTTTTTGCTTCTCATTGATCGACCATCTATTGGTCTTACTCTTATTCAGACATAAAGCTCAACAATTCTGAGAGTGAAAGAGTTGTAAAGATGAGTGAATCTTGATTGGTTCCACTAATTGGAATGAAGATGCGAAACTTTTTCTTTTTTCTTATTCTTTCAATATAATATTACTACTAATTGTACACTTCTCGATTCGATGCCTCATTGACTCTTACTGTTCTCATCAACTAAATCTCATAATCAACTTTTTCATATAATCATAAAGCATCAGTAAATCGTTTGAGTGTTTGGACCACTTATCACAAGTAAACAACAATTAGTCTAATATATTTAATCACTATCCCTTTATTACACATGACTTTCTCGTGTGCAATCAAATTGACTCAATAATGAAACTTTTTTACGGTAAAATGATTAATAAACATCAGGATGATTAGTGTATTAAGCAATTGCCAATACCACTCATAATAAGAAAGTTATTTATGCAAATTTCAATCGTTGTTTTGTTTTTGTAAAATAATATTTACAATAAACGAAGACTTGATTATGTTTAATCAAGAAAATCAATGGAAAGCTATTATAATTAATTGGAGTTAATCAATTTATCCATATACGTTGAAATTGTGTTGAGTAAAAATTAGTTTATTTGTACGTGTAGAAAGAGACAGGATTAGTTTTAGCAATTTGTATCGAGTTGAATGTACAGTTACTTGTTGTTATCTTTGTGATTAATTGGCTGGTATTTCATTGAACTGATTGTCTTTTGGGTATTAATTAGTAGTCATTGTTAATGAGTAGGAAAAAGAAGCAAAATTAAAGTCCACTGATTAGCTTGGATACTGATTAATCTGTGTTCTAACTTTCAATGATTTACAAAGTTACAATTGCCATTTAGATTTGACGACGATGCTGATAATCAACAATAAAAGTAATTCAAATGAATAAAATAAACTGAAGAATTGATTGATTTAAATGAGATTGTAAATATTACATTTTACTTTATCGGTTTTAAAAATATCCAAACAATAATCATGATAAATGGTGAATACAAACAGAAAGAGATAGATAGATAGATAGATAGAGAGAGAGAGAGAGAGAGAGAGAGAGAGAGAGAGAGAGAGAGAGAGAGAGAGAGAGATGAAACCTTTTTACTCATTTACATTGACGAAAACATTTCATTTGGATAAAGTATTTGAAGGTATTCACAGAAAAATTATCATTGTACTTCAAGTCGATCAAGTTTTTTGTTTGATTAACATTTACATATCATGATAAGATATTCTTATGTATTCTAGCATTATACTCATATTATTATCATATCATTGTAACATTTCCTTGGATAAAATTGTATATAAATGGTTGATAAGATTCGAGATGAAAATTTCATTCCATTCTGAATCAACTCGCCATCTTGATTTGCTCATGTTTCAGAAATGACATGAATTCTCATTATGATTATCATATAATCACCGAGAAAATGTTGAGCACTAAGTGTTATTATAATACTTTGATGCAAATTATAATCTCTAATATGAATTTATATTTGGTCAACTTAAATAGATGTAGAGTATAACCCTGAAGATGACTTTATTCATGAGCCAATGTACCTTGAGATTAGATTTTTTTTTTTGCTTGTTTGGTGATTATGAGATTATCAATGTCGGTTTATTATCATAAGTCAATTGATATTCAACTGTTTATATTTCATATCTTAATTGATGTTAAAAAGTCAATTTTGTCATTCAATTGATGAGCCTTGACATTAATGGACTAATCAATTTACCTATCACAGTAATCCAATCAGATTCACTTATCTATAATTGATTTTGTCATAAATCACAATCATATTTAATCTAACAAAAGGTGAAAGTTCATCTGATCATTTCCGTAAATAAGCCAATTGAAAGGACAAAGATTAAAAAGAAAATTCGAAAGTTAATATTTCGAGTAACATCCATTCAGCATTTTGAACGAAAAAAAAATACATAAGAAAATCGAGTATAACGAATTCTTTTATTTATATATAAGA